CTGCAATCCCTGTACAAAAACACTGCAAATCCCTATATGAGCACTGCAATCCCTATTATGAGCACTGCAATCCCTATACGAGCACTGCAATCCCTGTATGAACACTGCAATCCCTATACAAGCACTGCAATCCCTATACGAGCACTGCAATCCCTGTATGAACACTGCAATCCCTATGATCAATCCCTATAAAAACACTGCAATCCCTATACGAACACTGCAATCCCTATACGAACACTGAGCACTGCAATCCCTATACGAGCACTGCAATCCCTGTATGAACACTGCAATCCCTATACGAGCACTGCAATCCCTACGAGCACTGCAATCCCTATACTGCAATATACGAACACTGCAATCCCTATACGAGCACTGCAATCCCTATACGAGCACTGCAATCCCTATACGAACACTGCAATCCCTATACAACACTGCAATCACACAGCATCTATACTAGAACCATATAACTGTGTACCTATACTGTAACATAAACTCCATCTTAATGACCCCCCCCCCCCCCCACTCCCCCTAACAGGTACACGCCCCCATACCTGATCTAAATCCCCATGTAATTAAAATGCTAAAAAGGATCAACATATACTGTGAATCCAACTAAATAGTAGCAATGTATATACACCCTTCTTATATAATATATAAATATATAACAGACCGATATTCAATACAATGACAATCTTATACCCCCTATGGTGATGACTCCCTCTACTGGTCAATCTATGCATTCCCAGATCAATACATTCTACATCTACTCACACACAAACTAAACCTGATCCATATCCCCCAAACTATCTCATAAAAAGTATGATAAATATGATATATAATAAAATACATTAAATAAAATATATAAATAAATAAATAAAATCAACCCCTAAAAAACACTAACAGTTAATATAAAATCTACCAAATACATAAAAGTTTTCACTATTTTACATGTATGTTCAGTATAAAGGTAATACACTATCAGAAGTTTATTTTTTTGAGGTTCACAAAGAATTTTGGAATTTCCATACTGGATGATTAAAGATGATACAAGTTTGCTTTGGAATTTGGAAAGACATCTTTACAGAGACATTTTGGACATTTATTTTTTGGGACATTTAGTTTGATATATAATTTTTTGGGATATTTTATTTTAATTTACAATTTATTTTATTTATTTTATTGTAAATTGTATTTATTTTATTTTAATGTATATTGGGATAGATTCATCTATGTTTAAAGAAGAGTTTAGTTACATGTACACATACTTTCAAGGGTGAAAGTTTACTTTTTTTTGGGTATAGTAGATATTTTTGTAGGTGATAGGGTGCAGAATTCTGTTTATTGATTATTGTGTAAGTAAATTAATTTGCATCCTTTTTTTCACACAAATAGTTTTCCTTTAGTTGTATTTGATCACCTGTGCACTTCTTATTTTTTACGCTATAAACAAAAAAAATTTGAAACATTTTAATAAAAACAATATTTTCTCATTTATGTCATAAAAAATATCAAAAAACTCAAATTTCATCATAAATTTAGGCCAAAATGTATTCTGCTACATGTTTTTGTTATAAAAATTCCCAATAAGTGTATATTGATTGCTTTGTGAAAGTTATAGTGTCTACAAACTATGGGAGAGATCATGGAATTTACACAGCTTTTACTTTCTGACTGCTCATCACATTTCTTGAGGTGCTAAAATACCAGGATAGTACAACACCCCCCAAATGACCCTTTTCAGAAAGTAGACACCCTAAGCTATCTGCTGAGAGGCATATTGAGTCCATGGAAGATTTATTTTTTCCACAAGTTTTTGGAAAATTAAAAAAAACATTTTTTTTTACACAAAAGTTGTAACTTAAATTATATATTTGTCACACAAAGCCATGGGTATATGTGGAATTACACCCCAAAATACATTCTGCTACTTCTACCGAGTATGGGGATACCACATGTGTGAGACTTTTTGGGAGCCTAGCCACATACAGGATCCTGAAATCCAATGACTGCTTTGAAATCCCGAAGGTGCGGAACTTCCTCATTTCACTTCCTCACTACCTATCCGTTTCAAAGGCCCTGAAATGTCAGGATAGCACCCCGCCAAATGACCCCTTTCTGGAAAGTAGACACCCCAAGGAATTTAAAAATAGGTATGGAGTATTTTGCAGATCTAATTTTTTCCTACAAGGTTTTGAAATATAAAAAAAAAAAAGAAAAAATATGTTTTTTTTATTCATTTTCCAAAAACTTGTGGCAACAAAAGAGATCTGCAAAATACTTACCATGCTTATTATCAAATTCCTTGGGGTGTCTACTTTCCAAAAAGGGGTCATTTGGGGGGTTTGGTGCTATCCTGGCATTCCAGGGCCTCCAGAATTGTGATAGGTAGTTGTTATAGAGTCATTGTACAAATCCTGTGACCCGACTTGTATCCGGGAATATTTTCATGGCCTTCTACTTCCTGCTTCCTGTTCTGTGCTGACCTGGATGCAGTTCTGTTGTACAACATGATTCCTCACACCAGCATCTTGTGTTGTCTTCATTCCTGTACATGAAACATGGTGTCAGAAGTGACTGGAATCAGGACTGAGCCTCTTGTTTGGAGCGCAGCAGCTTTGGGAAACACAGGTTTGTGAACTACAGCCTGAGACTGAGGATTGTCTGAGATTTGATAGCTCAGAGGCTTCCTGACAATATGGCTGCCATGAATGGCATACCTCCCCCAGAGGGGATGACAATGAGTGGGGATTGGAGCAGCAATTGGGAATCTTTCAGAGCTGAATGTGAAGATTATTGTCTGGCTACAGGCTGGAATGAGAAATGTGCAGGAGTGCCGGCAGCAACTCTGAGAAGAGTCATGGGCAGTGAATGCAGGCATGTGTATAAACACAATGTGACCCTCACAGCAGATCAGCAACACAATGTTACAGCCATTGTAAATGTACTGGAAGATGATCTCATACCTGCTACAAATGTCATTTATGAAAGGGATGTGTTTGGATGCTGCAAACAAGAAGAGGGAGAATCTTTGGATCACTTTGTTACACGAGAAAAAAAAAGCAGCAACTTGTGAATATGGCACTCAGAGACCAATTGATAAGGGACACAATTGTTGTTGGTATAGCTAGCGAGAGAGCACACGCAGGCGCCTCCTAAGAGAACATGAGTTCACTCTACACACAGCCATTGAGACGTGCCGTACAGCAGAGCTCACTGACAGACGTCTGAAAGTTATGGAACAGGACAGACAGCAGACCGACAGCATAAACATTGCAATGCAGCATGGCAACAAGAACAAACTTCAGCAACGCCGCCTGATGAGCACAAATACTGCCAACTCTACAGCTTGCAAATACTGTGGGACTGTGCATGAAAGAATTAAAGAGCCGTGTCCAGCTTATGGGGAAGTCTTGGAAGTCTTGTGGAAGAACAAACCATTTTGCTAACGTTTGTTTGTCAAGTAAACGACGGCCATCAATAGGCAAATGACACAACGTGGAGAACACATCCACATAACACAAATCACCTACCTCCTCCCCCCACACAGAGACACACACACCACTGAAGTTATATACAGCAGTGAATTGATGGGCGCTGTGCAATCCAGAGGAAAGAAATGGTTTGTCACTTTACATGTAAATAATAAGCCCCAATCCTGTCACCTCCATTCAGGAACAACGTGGGATGTAATGTGCTTAAGAGACAAAATGGTGTCAGCACCAGAAGCACGTCTACTGCCAAGTGACACCAGGTTAAAGTTATACTCCGGTGCGATTATGAAATCTCTAGGGCTCTTCAAGACAGAATGTGCCATACGTGGACTAACACACAAGCTGGAGTGTGAAATTGTGGAAGCCTGCCAAAAGCCACTGTTGTCTGGCTCAACCTGTGAGCGTCTAGGGCTGAGACGTTTCTCCGTCCCTGCAGAGCTTAATGTGATGGACAATCTATCCAAGGGGCCCTTGACAAAACAACTGCTGATAAAGGAATTTAGTGATGTGTTTACTGGGCCAGTGGAATCTGTACCAGGGGAAGTTCATTTCGACCTTGATGTGAGTGTCCCTCCAGTCCAATGTGCACCACGCAATGTGCCGGTGGCATTAAAACAGGCAGTTAAGGCACAGCTTGACCAGTATGAGGCCAATGGACACTTGGCACCAGTGACTGACCCAACTGACTGATAAGTAACATGGTGATTGTAAGGAAGCCAAATAAGCTACGAATATGCATAGATCCCAAATTCTTAAATATGGCACTGAGACGATCTCACTACATCATGCCAACTCTCGAGGATGTTTTGTACAAGCTGCCAAAAGGCACGTCTGTTCACACTTGTTGATGCCCGGGATGCATTTTTACAGTGTAAGTTGGATGATGCAAGTAGTTACATGACAACCTTCTGGACTCCGTGGGGCAGGAAAAGATGGCGCAAACTGCCTTTTGGAGTATCAGTTGCACCAGAGGTGTATCAACGTAAACAACATGAACTATTGGCTGGACTCGGTGGTATTGAACCAATAGCTGATGACATCCTTGTGGTTGACTGTGGGGACACAGATGAGGAAGCAGAGCAAGATCATGATGGCAAACTGCTGGAACTGACGAATCGTTGTAGGCAGGTAAAATTGAGACTTGGCATGAAAAAAACTGCAATTCAAGGTCAAAGAGGTCCGCTTTCATGGACACACATTCTAACCTGGGAGGGTTTGAAGGCTGACCCAAAAAAAAATCAGAGCCATACTGGATATGCCGCAGCCAGCAAATGTGAAATCCCTGCAACGCTTCATTGGATTTGTTACCTACCCTAACAAAATTCCTACCACACCTCTCAGAGGTCTGCGAGCCATTGAGAAGGCTTCTGGACAAGGACGCTGTTTGGCATTGGCTTCCTAAGCATGATAATGCAGTGCAGGACAACAAACGCTTGGTCACGGACACACCTGTCCTGAAGTACTATGACGTTACAAAACCTGTAACTATTCAAAGTGATGCAAGCAAAACTGGACTTGGGTGTTGTCTATTGCAAGCTGGCCAGCCTATCGCTTTTGCTTCAAGGGCACTGACTCTACCGAACAAAAACGCACACAAATAGAAGAGGAATGTCTGAGTATAGTGTTTGCCTGCCAGCGCTTTCACCACTACCTCTATGGGCGCGACGAGATCACGGCAGAAACTCACCATAAACC